ATTAGAATGTCATTTAATGTTATTGGATACGTTCTCTCTGTTACAAATTGAAATAAAATTATTAATATATTTATGAATAAATGAATTTAATGATATATTATATAATAAAATTTATTTATGTATTACAAATTTATTAATAAAAACAGGATTAAATGTACAGAAAAAAACTGGTCGATCAGAGAGTTAATAACATGGCAAGTATTTGAGATCTTTATTAAATGTATGTATAGCATATGTGTTTTAATGAAGTTTTAATAAGTTTTGTTAAAAAAGTACAATAACTTATTATAACTAATTTGTTTCAGACATTATTTTTGTCTTAACTGTTAGATATAAACATACAAAAACAGCTTCTAAGCCAAGTAGCAATATCGAGATTAAATTAAATGTCATATGTATATAAAATCTATTTTAGTGTTTATGCACTCCAGCGAAGTGTACTTTTTTCCCTTGTCCATCTAAAGCCTCCATTAAGCTTGATGTAAAACTAAATTCTGAGCTACTTTCGTCTTCCTGACCTCTGAAAAAATAATATAATTAATAATCTGTTATATTAAAATGTTTCGTTTTTTATGCCGATAATTTTCTCTTGAAAAAAGAGAAGACATACAGTGTATCGAGACTTGTTAGACTGCCGTTCAATGTTGGCATATAAACAAAACCATCTATCTTCAATAATTCGAGGTAAGAATTAATAGTGGCCACATAAATTCCTTTTGAACCAGCTGTGCCTAAATAACGTGGACTAGATAATTCGATTAAGGTACGTTCAGGATTCCTTTCCGAAGAACTATATGCTTCTGCATCAAGTTTCACAATCTCGACGGATGAGAAATGAATAATAAATAAGTACGGTTTGCAGAATGCTAAAATAAAGTAATAAGTTATGTGATTAATGTATAATATTAATATGTAAGTAAAATGATATCTACCAAAGGAAAATTATATTTACCAAAAGCAAATGGTAAATGATTCCACACTGGATCAATAGCGCGAGTCCTTCTACCATTTTCGTCTACAAATACACCAAACTCATTGTAGCATAGTAAAAGCTCCGCTGTGCCACATATATTTGAAATATTTAAAACACACACAGGAAATGTGCCAAGTTTCGCTGCACCCGATATTGCCGCTTTAATTGAATTATTGTCTTCTTCTGGAAATTCTGTAAATAAATATTGTTTTTTTTTTCAGAATTATATTTCTTATTCAGATATATTATAAATTTCTTACTTGTATCATGAGAAATTACTTACTAGTTTAAGAATTATGTGTAACATATATATAATTTTCTTTGTATACTTACCATCTACAACATAAGTTTGCAGATCAATCTGTAAAAATTTGTCACAGCCTACAATAAGACGATTTGTAGTAAATATAGCACAACTGCAAGGTGTGTCAAATTGTGTATCAAATTTATAAAGCCTGACGAATTCTCCAAAATCTTCTTCGATTTTCCATTTCAATAATCTGCATTAACATATAAAATATTACATCTAGAATTACGTTTCAATGCTGTATTATGTTTATGAATGAATTAAAAATTACATACATCACACGAGATGTGGTTGCGGCGCATAGTATATTGCCTTGTAATTGGTAAAGATGGCAACTATCAGAGATAGATAATACAGTCTTTGTACTGATTGCTGGTCTAGAACAGTCGGCGGCCAACGCATTATTCTTCAATAACCTTAAGTTGCAGTATACTAATTCCCTGTATTCACCAGCTATCATTAAAGCCAGATCCAAATGAGAATGTAAAGAAAGCTGGTGTATTTGCTTGACACCGCGAATTGTAGTGAGCGTTTGAGATTTCGAAGCGCAATATGAAAAGAGACCTTCTTTCGCACCTAGCAAAAGTACATTTTCCGCACCCAGATCCACAACACAGTTCAAATCCAACTAGAAATAAATAGATAATTTTAATATAAAATAAGAAAACGAGAAACTAATGCAAAATTTTATACAAAGAAGATATTATAAAAGAAATAACTTTATTATTACAGTTAAATTTAATTTGTTGAATGAAAAATTCTTAATCTTGTCTTTTTGTATTAGATTTTATAAAACTGATATGTGAGGATTTAGTTCAATCTTAACACGTCACTCACTTGATGTTTTTCTAATCTGAGTACAGTTTGATACTTTTTATATTTTGATATAGGATACGAATTTTGAACAGTAACAATCTTTAAAGTTTCAAGCCATTTTCTCTTATCAGCCTGACTCAGTGCCATGACGTCCAATCTAGATGAAGGCCAACAAGTTGTCACAGAATTCGATTCTATTCTAAAGATAAATGGAATGTCGGATTTTGCTGTATCCAATACGTCAGGATGTTGCACTACTTCAGAAACATTAAAGCCATTATTCTCTATTAAATTTAAACGACTTATTGGTACCACCCCCGCACATGGCTGACGTTCGTAGAGACACAGACATGGTTCTTCCAATTTCAAATACTTTCTCTCCCAGCAAGATTTTGATTTACTAGGAACTTTTACCCATCCTTCCATAGAAATTTCATTCTCTTTGTAAGGAGCATTTTGTAAATCCTGCAAAAAAAGATACATATAGATATATAAATTGTTATGAAAATCACGAGATTATATAGAAATAAATAATAGTAAATTTAATTTTTTACTGTATCTGGTTTATCCGGCTGATCTATCGCCAAAGTCTGAACGCTATCTCCGATCGATGATAAACTCTCATCGCTATCTCTATGAGATTTATAATAGTATTTAGACAAACCACTTGGTAAACCACAATTGGCAGGTACAGACACTGCGCATTTTAAATGCGTCATAATTTGACACTCGCTGCAGATCCGAGCATGTCTTCCGAACTGTATAGCCTCTGGACATGCTGCGCATTTTCCGGCACGCATAGGCAATTCAACATTAAATCTATGTGGAATGTTGTGTCCTATCCTTTGCGGAGATAACTGCCTAAGTAACGAGGTACTAGTTTCTGTGATATTCTTCACTTTTTTGCCTTCGCGTTCTGGCGTCGTCGGAGATGTAGGTGCAGATGCAGGCGCGGAAGCAGCCCTAGCTTTCTGGATTAACAGCTGATCTGTCAACGTCTTCACCTTCGCTTGTTCTTTAGCGAGCTGATTCTCCAATTCGCGATATCCCACAGGCATGCCCGTACCCATAGGTGGCACATTCTCCTTCTGTTTCATACCAAGTATTTCGCATATCTTCGTCTTCTTTTTCTTACCACCTCCTTCCAATTGAAATTGTAAGTAATCAATCAGTTTAGTTTGTTGCTGTATAACACTTTCATACTTTATCTCTCTTTTCTGATAAAACTGTCTCATCTCTTCTATGACGGTTTCCAACTCTACTATTCTTGATCTTAGTTCCTGACATTGATCTATGCTATTCTGCAAATTATCTCTAAGCACGGAATTTTCCTCTTTCAATTCATGCACTGTCGTCAAGTATTCGCTACTTTCTTCTTTCACGACTCTCGACTCTTCTTTAGCAGCTTCTAAAGCATGACCCATTTCCGAAAAATCGCATTCCAATTCACCACATTTTGTATTCAATTCTTCTACTTGCATAGTGAGTTCCTGAACAAGTTTCTTATACTGGTCCCTTTGAACGATAAGACCGTTTCTCTCGCTTTCTATATCACTTGTTTCAGATTCCAACTGTTCAATGTTACGTTCGGCAACTATTCTTCGTGTTTTCTCCTCGTTCTGCACAATATGTGCTTCACGAACTTTTGTTTCGGCAACTTCTAAGTCTCTTTGTAGCTTCATTTTATCCTGAATCAGCATATTCTCGCGCGTTTCATGATCGCTTGTTAATCTTTCGTAGTCCGTTAATTGCTCTTCTAACACTGTACAAGTTTCCTTTAACAACTCATTATTTATTTCGTATCCTTTGATATCCTGTTCTAGTTTTGCGATTTTAGACTCGAGATCTGTGACTGTCTGTGTCAAACGCTTGATTCGATCGTATTTGCCTACGAGTCGCATCCAATTCTCTACGTAATGACGCACTAGAAGTTTGTGATTCTTCGATTTGATGATTAGCTTGAATTAAAGCCTAAGAAATATAAGAAATGAATTAAAAATAAATAACAAAAAATAGATTTTCTTATATTTTAATTTATGTATCCATAAAAAATTAAAAAAATTTTAAATAAATATTTATAAAAAATATATACTCTTTGTGCTGAATCTGCTTGCATTTTATGTCTAGATGCCTCTTTTGTAATATCATTCAATGATGTCTTCGCGATATTTAATTCTTCCAATAGTTTCTTTGAATTTTGTTCTTCCTCTTTTACTTTATCATTTAATTTTTTTAGCAATTTTTGATTCTCTTCCTGTAGAGTTTTTATTTTATCCTGTAGAGTTTTTATTTTATCCTCAGCTCGTTTAGCTTCCCTTACAGCTATGCGTTTATCTAAGTTAGCATCTGATAATTCTTTTTCTTTCTTCCATAAATTCAATTGGGCTTGTTTTGCCGTTTGTTTTTCAACTGTTAATTCTTCTCTTAACGATTGAAGTTGCTGCTTCAGTTTTTCTGTTTCTTCTTGTCTGTGAAATACCTTTGTATCTGTGGCTTCAACAATTGTTGCGCGAGTTGCAGGTGGTACTTCATCTAGTTGTTTAAGAACAGCATTTTCTGCTTCTAACTTTGTAACACTATTTTCTAAACGTTTTAATAATTCTTCTAAATTACACACTTTGCGCAATTGTTCCTCTGCAATTAAATAACAATTAAATGATAGAATAGTATACAAGAATAATTCATAATATTTTATATATATATAATATATAATTTTGTTTACTTTCTTTCTCCAAAGAATCCTGTAATCTTTTTTGCAATGCAACCTTATCTTGTGCTGCTTGTTCTAAATTTACAGCAAGCGCTTCACTTTGCTCTAAATTCATCATGGTTTCATTTAGATCAGATTTGGTAACCTATAAAACAAAATTATTGAATTAAAATTCAAATATAATATAAGAAACAAAACGGATTATTAGAATCAAATATCATTAGCCAATTATTAGGTGTTGGAATTAATTCGTAGCGTTTTTAATGAAAGAATGTTATTTATTTCACATGAGCATTAAAAAATACATTAATGAAAGTACTTCCCATCACTTGTAAAACGCTACGAATTAATTCCAACACCTAATATTATTTACATTATAAATAAATTACACATACTTATACATGAAATTCAATATTATTTGAAGTTTTATTTTTAGCGAATTTATTAAAGCTACCAATGGTGGCACGAATGGTTCGATTCCATCCCATATACGCGATTTTTCATATTCTGGAGAATACTGTTCCATCTTGTATTTTTAAGGAACAATATTGCTCCAATACATGTGACTTTGGCTAATGATATCTAATTTAGGGCTTTAATAATCCGCTTTCTTTTTTATATTTGAATTGTATATTCATTTAAACCTATTATATTATATTATATTATTACAATTATTAGATTTAACAATTCTTTATCACATTAATGCATTCGGGGAGACGCGCGCTATTAGTGCTACTTCATTTTATCTTCATTATTTATTAGACATAAAACACATAAAGATAGAATGACACAAATAGCGCTAATAGCGTCTCCCCAAACGCAATTCTTAGTTCGTTTAGTTTCCCTCATAGCTGTACGTTTATCTAAGTTAGTATCTAATAACTTTTTTTCTTTTTTCCATAAATTCAACTGAGTTTATTTCGCCATTTACTTTTACGTTTGAAGTTGCTGCTTTAGGTTTTCTACTTAAAACATTTAGATTACTTACTTGCAATTGTTGTTTTAATTGCTCATTTTCAAGATTCATTCTTTCCAATTGTTCTTGCATAGTTGTAAGCAATTGCTCTGATGACTTTAGATCATCTATCTGTCTCGCTCTCTCTTGCAGCTGTTTACGCAAAGCTTCGATTTCGGTGTCCCTTGCTGGTAACGTGGCTTGTATAGTACGTAACTGTTCCTGGCAATCTCTTAATTCATTTTGAGCAAGTTCTAAAGCAACATTTAATCTTGACTCGCGACAATGATTCGAATCCTGCTCGTTTCGTAACCTAGTCTCAAGATCTGTGTTCTTTGCCGCTTCAAAGTCCAATTTTGCTCGTAAATCAGCCAATTGATTATGAGAGCGCACAGCAATCTCCTCTAACTTAATTTCTACGCCTTGAACACTTTGTCTACTTAATTCACGTGTTTTCGCCAAGGATTCTTTATATTGTGCCTAAATATTTATTAATAAAGAATTAACAGCATTGATACCCTCAATTTGCATTGCCATTTTACCTTCATATATAATTTTTTAGAGTTAATGACATTACTTAATGGATATTATGTTGCATTAATTTATATCATTACATTATCAAATTTAAGTTACCCACTTGAAATACACGCAGCTTATCCAATTCTGCATTTGCAGTTTGCAGTTCACCTTCTGTCCTTTGTAAACGCGAACTCATTTCATTATTACTTGTGCATAATTCTGTTAATTTTACAGTTTGTACTTCAATATGCTTATTTAATTGTGCAATTTTGTCTTTCTCTGCATTCTCCCATTTTCGCTTAGCATCTCTTATTAATCCAAGCGCTCGAGTTTCTAAATCTCTCCTCTCTTGTCGCTCCAATTCTATCTCAAGTGATACATTAAGTTTTTGTCAAGTAATAAAAACATATCTTATGTTAAATAGAACAATCGTATACGCTATCGTATACGGCTATAAAGTATACTTTCTTCCACGAATGTTTGTATTAATTTGACAATATGTGAATTTAACTGTTATAATTGTTATTAAATTACATACCCAATGTCCTTTTAATGCCTGCCAGTTCTGACCTTGTAGTTATCAATTCTTTTTCTAATATATCCCTCTCCTTATGGGAAGCTTCTAATTTTCGTGTTTTTTCCTCTATCTGAGATTCCATCTGAGAAAATCTCCTGACCTGGTCCTGTAATTCAAATATTCTCTTTTGCTTCTCTTGAATTTCTTTATTTTTCACATCTAACTTCGTCTCTAACTCCATTTTTTCTTTAGAAAATTTGTCCAGTTGTAAATGCTTAGGCAATTTATATTCTAAGTATGGAGAATGTCCTGATCCCGACTGAGCTTCAGTTTCTGCAGCTTCAGCTACAAAGAATAAAATTGTATGATATATATATGAGCTCTACATTAACTAAAATATTGAATTAAACAGATACAAACCCAAACTTCTCCTAATGCCAGCTAATTCTGATCTTACAGCCACTAATTCCTGTACTGACTTGTCTTTTTGTTTGACGCTTGCATCCAGTTTCTGTGACTTTTCATCCGGATCACAGAAATACTTAGATTTATTGTAAGGCTTCTCATAAACTTCCAGTGTCTTATATCGCCCGTATCGTGATCTCTCATTTCCTAACTCCATGACTGATTATTTCCAAATCGCGTGATTATACTCAAATGCGTTTAATCATAGGTCTGTTTTCTGTGGATGAACTTTTGCGTAGTATACTTTTGGAATTTAAAGATAAGTATATGTATGATATTTGACGAAAATTCTAATACAATCTAGAACAGGAATAAAAAATAAACCTCATGGCGACTAACGACGACGCTCCGATTCGTCTACAATTCTTCTTCTTCTTAATTAGTTAATAGCTCTCCACTCGTCTGCTTCCACCGTCTATAATGTCTACATCCAAGTTGACCAAAGTTTACGTTACCACTAATGCCACTGAACCGCACTGAACTTCTAACGGTCACGACCAACTTCGTGAGTACAATTTAAATACAATATAATACGCTGCTTGCGACGTCAGGGTGCGCGCGTTTTAGAGAGAGTGTACTACTTCTCAATACCTCACTAGCGCAGCGAGTGTAGAAAGCCTAGGGATTTTATAGGTTGCGAGTTGCCTACAAGCAGCATCAGAAAAAAAATAAGAACAGATAGATTATGGCGCTCATCCTGTACGGTCATATTCATTCAAGCTCGAGTAATAAAGATTCATCGTTACCAGTTACAAGAAAAGTGTCAATCATTACCTTTTATATCACATCAAGCGTGGGCTTGTCTTGAGAATTTGACTCATCAATCGAGTCACTTATTCCCACAAGAGAGCTGATCTCTGGTGATCTCTAGCGATAATTTAATGGGAAAAAGTCGATAAAGTAGATGTATCGATAGATACAAGGATTGTATTGTGTCGCAGATTACGTTTACATGAAATGGTAAATTAGTATAACATTTCCCCTTCGAGTTTTCTGTAATTTTGTAAATTTATATATTTTTATATGTAGAATATATTCCGAAAAGGAAAATCATATCGCTCAAGTCTTGTTTCTTTTTCTATAATTTTATAGTTTTTTAGTGTCAGTAGGTGAGAAAATGATAATTTAATGATATTTCTCTGCTTTAATTAATTACAAATATATTATTTTTTTATAAAATTTAAATTATAGCAGAGAATGGAGGATTATATTTCGAAATTCATTCCTTTTTTATCCTTTTTTACGGAGATATAAAGAAAATATTAAAATAAAAAAAGGAAATGCGACTTGAACTTTTTCTCTACAGCACAAAGTTACATAAAAGTTGCAGCAACACTGCTGCAACATTGCAGCGACATTTAACATGTTGCAGCAGTATTGCGGATTTTGCAATAATATTGCTGCAAATTCTACGCTGTATAGAAATTCCATCTCGATCAAAATCTTCGCATAAGTACACATATTATAAAATTATAGGAAAATCGGAAAGAGATAAATATTTACTAAACATTTCATAAAATATTTACATATTGGTATATTTACATTAAGTTTCATACGAATCTTTTTCATTTAAATAATATGATGTAAAAAATGGAAAATGTAAAAAAGGAAAAAATTAAGTTGATTGTTAACATGACTTTAATTGATAAATAAAAATATTTAAACGAGAAAAAAGTTTGGTGTTGTGTAATATAACGACAATGAATATAAGCTTAAATGATCCATGTGTTAACACACAGATAATAACGTAAAACATAGTTTACACGAAGAGGTCGGTTATTACATTTCAAACGCACAACTTTGCTCTATATTGAAAAAAATCTTAAGGAACACAAGATAAATTATAAATTTAAAACAAAATTAAATTGATCTTTTAATAAAAATGCATCACTAAAATTAAAGAATCAACTATAGAAATAATTTTCACATCTTACACACATCAGTACATATTGGGTCATCTAAAAAGTATCCGCGGTTTTTTGTCACTAGATGTGTGTTGATGGTTATATATCTAGTGACAAAGTACCGCGGATACTTTTTAGATGATCCAATATTATAATTAAATATTCTTTTAAGTATTTCATGAAATATCTGTGATTATTTGAATATGTTTAGGATATAGGGAAAATAAGATTATATGCAGAAAATATAGAAAAGAAAGGTATTCAACACAAACGAACGTGGCAAGAGTATACTGTATTTTGTCCTTTTAATCATTATCATACGAACCGTTACTTACAAATCAAATTGTGATTGTGGTTCTTCCTGCTAGTCTGTCAGTATGTCTCATGTCACTTTGTGTGTGTGTGTGTGTGTGTGTGTGTGTGTGTGTGTGTGTGTGTGTGCAAATTGTGTGTGGATATGTATGTTCTCTTTCATGAAATTACATTTATCGTCTATTTAGCATTTCTTAGCAATACCATTAACGCCATCGTTATTGATATTATCATTAATTAATAATTATTTTGATACAATAAGGCGCTATATACGGTAGTAAATAATATATATAATAATGTATAACTTTATTATAATTTTAAATACATGAGCATAAATTTAGCATTTGAGGCGATAATTAAATTATTTCGTTGTTTAATTTCGTAATTGCTCTATGATTTTGTAGGTTTACGAGACGCTCTATAAAATCGAACGTACGCTCCATCAATAAAAACGTTTTTAAATAACGCGAAGTGAGTTTGCCACTATATGTTTTGCAAACTCTTGTACATATTTATAAATATATATACGTATATATGTATAAAACATACAGACTCTATATGTAAATATATATATATATATATATAAAACATACATATATATATATATATATATTTATATTTATAGACGCGTAAATATAATCGTTAGGATGCGTATATACAAAAATATGTACAAATATAGGTATTTTCGTTTATTCTTTCGTTATCACCCTCCTTTCATTTCTAACGCCCAAGATCTACATCGTGGGTTTCTTGATATACACATAATATGGCATCCGTTATCTTGGAGATATCTCTCAAGCTACCAACGATCTGAATTAACAATCAAGATCTTTCTATTTCCCGTATTAATACTAAAATGGTCAAGCTTGTTTTGAATGCAAACAAGATAAAAATTTCCTTAATTTTTTAAATAATAACAAAAATTTAAAATAATAAAATTTTTAATTAAAAATTTTTAGTTAAAAAATTTGTATGTAAGAAAAGATTTCCTTTATCTACACTGAATTAAAAATTTTATCGACCTTTAATTATCAAAATTTTTATTATTTAGAACAATCGCAAAGATGATCGTTCTAGTATTAAAAGCGACGTCCAAAAATTTCTTTTCCGCAATATTTTTATTATATTTAATTTAAGTTATTAAGTTTATTATGTTTTTATTATATATTATATATATTTTCATCATCGCAATCGATGAACGTTTTGTTTAAAGTAACACAACTTTTACATTGTGAAATCCATTATTATGATAAACTTTTCTTTTATTTCCAAATAAAAAAATTGACGTTATAAAATCATCTAAACAAATGCAACATAAAGTGTCTGTGACTGATGTTCAAAAATATTATTTCCTATACAATCTTATTAATATTGAAAGTATAGGTATTCATGTTTGAATGAGATATGTAGATATTTACTTTGAACCTTAAAAAGCAGCTATTAATTTGAATCATTAAATTATCATTTATTTGCGGAAATGAGTATTTTTTGTTGTCGCACTTCTGTCTGAATGCTCATGTGTATCTACGGTGTGATAATATGAGCAACATAACGACGTGAGAGTTCATATTGTCTGGTAAATCGTGATACAATTATCGAGGTTTATTACAAATAACTGTAGTTTAACCATCTTACGCCAGTACCATTATGGCAAATATATATATTACATAAAAAAAAACTATGCAATCTAAGGAAAAATTATCTTTCACTTGTTTATTGCAAAAGAGAGAAGAACCATCTCGTCAATTGTATCACGATATCTTCTTTATCGGATACCCTGTATATACTAGCGGCACTTTTCTCGCGCGACTAATTCAACAATAAGGCACATTGTTGCACAATCTGCTGGTAGAGGAGTGTTTGCACAGTTCGAGACAAAGATCATGATGTCATTCTATACATACAAATCGCCGAAAATGACATCACGATCTCTTGCTGATCACTCCATCCTTCCAATTTCCTGGCACCTATGGCCTCAAAAGTACCACAATCTGAAATCCCGGATGATGAAGGCTTATGTTCGTCCGAGAACGATTGGAAAAAGACAATCTGTTTTTACATCTTTGCCAAAAAGAGCGAAGAGAGAATTATTGATAATAATTTGGAAAATTCCATAACTAAGACAAAAAATACAAATAAAATTGCAGTTAATTTGCTATGAAAAATTAACGAGTAAAACTTGTGCGAGTATTTTGTTTAATGAAATTCTAATTTAAAAAAAAATGGCAAAATCTGAACATAATGAAGAATTTGGCTTTATTAGATTTGAAAGTTTCGTCAGAATTGATACGCACGAAGGAAACTTGAATATTTATTTTCGCTGGATTTATTCGTAACCCGGAAAATCAGAACTAGGAAACCAAACGTTGTAAAACGGCGGAGTCGAAGCAAAATTCGCTAGCCAACCTGGGCGCAGCCTTTTTTCGTTAGACTTTCAAGTCGCAGACCAGCTGCTCGGTGGGTCATGTGCTCCGATGCACAGAGGGAACGAACGACGCGACATGCGAGGGTGTCGCAGTCGCGATTCCGCGATGTAGACTCGGACGAGTCGGATTAAACAATTAAATAGCCTATCGTAAGGAGTATCGTTTAAATAATTTACGTTTCTGTATATATACACACAATCATGTTCGCGTTCGCGTGTAATTCTCGCTGCTGCGTTCATTAAAGGATTGCTTCTGACATCCATCATTGGCACATGCACCGTTATCACTGGTCATTGATTACATCGTCGATTACAGCACTTTTTACAATTTCGACAATACTTTATGCATCTTATCCTTTCGAACTTTTTGATGCGCGTGTTTTACAATCTGCGCATGGCACCTGGGATTCAGAATTAGGAGACCGCGGCTTTGCGATCACTATTTCTCTTTCTCTTTTTCTGTCCTGCTACTACTTCAAATTTAAAGAGAAACATATCTATGAACGGAATTGCAGCTCCATCGCGCGATAGCTGGTGATAGAACTGGAACATGCACGACTTTTTTCCGGTCTTCATACTTCCACACCGAGGACCCGATCAACAACATATTCATACCTCTTCGGCTCTCCATTGCCATTCTTCTCAGTAGATTTCGGTAAAACCTCCCTTTCGCCGTTCTCTGAACTTCGCGCTTCGGTTTCCGCCGCCGGTCGACCTTTAGCGTTCATAGATTTACTGTCGGCATTGGACAATGCGACTTCGTCTGCGTTGACAATCACGGCAACAACATTTGTGGCACTTCGATCCGTAACACTGCTGCTCTTCGTGACAGGCAATGCACTTCCACCGGAAATGTTGTTCGATCGCGTTGTCGTGGAATTTATAAAAGCACTAGTGACGGGCTCCGATGCGTACTTTCTGTGCGAGTGTGATGTCGAAGAACATATACCTTCAGCCCCGAGCTCTTCAGGTGGCAGAACAGGAACATTCAAATTCACTCGCGTAAAGAAAGCAATCTTTTCTCTGGAAAAAGATAATGTTAATTTATCAAATGATCTTTATAAAAGATAATATTTTTTCCTATTAATCTTTACATAATCTTTAAAATTATCAAAAAGTTACAGATTTTCATTAATTTATTCGAAGACATAACTTTTGATTAATATCCAAAAATTAACATCTTAGATTAATAGTTATTTCAGACATCACTCAATTACTTCAATATTTTAAGTATTATGAGATATTATAGATATTCGAATCCAAATCACAAAAAAACTGAAATAAAAGATAAAGAAAATAATTTTGCAATAAAGGGAAACTTGTCACTTACTTGAAGGAAATCATATCGGGTTTTCCCTTCCCAGCTTTCGTTTTCCTCAATTTGTAAATCTCTTTTGAAGTTTTCTTTAACATCTTCTCCACTTTCTTATCCTCAAGGCTCTTGCCGTTCCTGCCACTTTCGGCCTGTGCTATGAGATTTTGAAATTTCTGATCTTCTAGCAGCCATGTTGCTAAGTCGGTATCGCCTCTTTCACGCGCTTGTTCTAGCCGTTGTTTCAATTCTCGTAACCTACTAAGCTCATCTTGGAGATTATTTAGTTTAGCATGCTGCGCCTGGAGATCTAATTCGAGATCCAAAGACGTTCTGGCTGTCGGCAGCAAATGAGACGACTTCTTCGTGGTTTTGTAACTGAGGGCGGAGGATGGTCGACGCCATCGCAGAGAACGTCTTTCTACCGAGTTCCGTTGGAAAGGTCCGCCTCTGCGATAAAGCGGCATACTACTGTCGCTGTCGCTGCGATTAAGCTATGTAAAATAAGATAAAAAAAATAAATTCAGGAAAAAAGGCAGAGTCTTTGGGATGCCAAAACTCGCATTTAAAGGTATATAAAGAACAAATTCATGAAAAGCAAGTAATAAAAATTCTTCAATCTTTATTGAGGATTTATCGAAATTTTAGATTCTTATTAAAAACTTTTTTATTTTGTATAAAATTTTGTATGGAAAAAACAAATATATCAAATATTATATGTAATAGCCAAGAAAATTTGATTAAAACTTACCCGACAGATGTAATGATTTCTGCTAACGGCTGCGCTAGGTGAGAATGTTTGACTTCTTTTAATCACAATAGAGTTTTTGTCGTCATGAATAGCACCGGGTGCAACACCAGCCGCAGAAAGTTTTCTTTGCTTGCCCTGTTCCGGAATAAACACGCATTCAGTATTTGTTTCCTTGTCCTGCGTTTGCCTCGTTTCCTCGTTCAATTCTTCGTCTTCCTGTTATATTATAAATGGAGAATCGTTATAAATTTAGAATTAATATTTTCTTAATAAAAATTCCTATAGTCTCGACAACAAACAATTTAAGATTCAGTGCAAGTTTAATTCTCATAAAAAAATAACGCTAATCATAACGGTGATAGAAAAATATTAAGTCCTATTAAATCAATGACTTTTAATCGCTTGTCCACGATTCATCTGATAGTAAATTCAAAGCAATCAAAACATTAAATAAATATCGTTTATATAGCAACATTGCTTACCTCGTGCTCCAAAACATCTTCTAGAATATTATCCTCCACCGTAAATTCCACAATGATACCTTCCTCGTCGCTGTCCTCGCTCCCACTTTCACTACCATCATCTTCATCCTCTTCTTCTGGACTGCGTAGACAATTCAGCTCTTCCAACCTTAACGTTACGGCTGACTGCAACTCGTCTTGATTCCTCGTCAAGGTGGATGTTTGGGAACTGATTATCGTACTCTCGTCACTACTCTCTTCTTTCGTATTCTGTACGCTCCTGTATACCGAAATATCCGATTCCTGCTTGTCGTGCTTCGTCAATCTGACGCTCATAGAGGTGCCGTTGGTACTGGTACCAGGACTATCAGATGGATGCATGAAGCGGAAGGAGAGTATATTGTACCATTTCACGCTAGGAGATTCTGGACTAAAGTCTGCCAACGAGACTTGTGCAGAACCCTGTAATCAAATCAGTAAAAATCATCCAGAATGATAAATGACACTATGTTCTCAATTTAGCAACAATTATAACTGTTTCTTTTCAAGAATATATGAAATTTTCATCATTTTCGTCAATAAAGAATTGAATATTACTTTTCCAAGTGTGTCTCAGATTTTCGATCATAATACATTCTGTCAAAAAAGTACCGGGAATTGGTCAATAAAACACAAAATAGTTATTATTCATTCAAATTTATTGTATCGCCTTCAAAGTAGGCTCCTTTCGAAATAATACATTTATGCCAACGAATAATCCAATCATCAAAACATTTTTTAAACGCATTTTCCGGAATCGACTTCAGTTCTCGCCGCGAATTCTCTTTTATGTCTTCTATCGACTGAAAACGAGTGCCTCGAAGTGGTAATTTGAGTTTTGGAAAGAGAAAAAAGTCAGCCGGAGCCATATCTGGTGAATACGGTGGTTGTTCGATGATATTTATTGAGTTTTTGGTCAGAAATTCGTTCACAATGATAGCCTTGTGAGATGGTGCGTTATCATGGTGCAAAATCCATGAGTTTGTTTTCCACAAATCTGGCCTTTTTCGACGAATTTGCTCTCTCAAACGCCGCATAACGCCCAGATAATATTCTTTATTTACCGTCTGACCTTCTGGCAAAAATTCCGAGTGCACAACACCACGACAATCAAAGAAAACAGTTAACATCACTTTTGATCGACTTTGACGTGGTTTTTTCGGTTTTGGCTCAGTTGGAAGGCGCCATTCCGAAGCTTGTTGACTGGTTTGCATATCAAACTCGTAAACCCATGTCTCATCACCAGTTATAATGCGTTTTATGAATGTGGGGTCGGAATTAACTCGTTCTAACATGTCTTCAGCGACCTTTACGCGATTGAGTTTTTGAAGAAAATTGAGGTCTTTCGGAACTAGTCGAGCGGCAACGCGTTTCATGCCCAAACAATCGAGTAAAATGGTACGAATTGATTCGTGAGACACCGTAAGTTCAGTGGCTATCTCTCTCAAACTGAAATGACGATTTTCAATCACCATTTCCTTCACTTTATCGATGTTAACTTCAGTTGAAGATGTTGATGGCCGACCAGAACGAGGCAAATCTTTCACCACATCTCGACCGCTTTTCAATGCACTGTACCATTCATATGCACGTGTTTTTGATAAAGTCGATTCACCGTAAGCCTTCTGTAACATCTTCAGCGATTCGGCACACGAAATTCCATTTGCAATACAAAATTTGAGACAAATTCTTTGTTCGATCTTTTCATTCATTGTAAAAATCGCAAAACACACTTGAGATGAACTGATAAAATCGAGCACTATAATCACATTAAATGACAGATGGCACTCCAACTCCGCGTCAGTATAGAGGACAGTTATGCCAACTTAGCGACAAAAAGAATTTTGACAATTCCTTTAAGCGAGCTTTTTAAATGATCAATTCCCGGTACTTTTTTGACAGAATGTACACTATTAAGTAAACATCGTAATAAAATTATCTCGGAGTGAGGAGTGAAAACTTGTCACGTAAATAAAATAAATTTCAAAAAAGTATACATACCAAACATTTCTCGGCCTCGGTGCACCAAAGTGTCACTTGCAGCGTTTTCGTGTACAATTTGTTAAGCGGCACGGCGATCGGGAACGTTTCACCGAAAGTCGGTTTTCGCAAGTCTACGACGGATTTCGTGCAACACGTATGATTGATGGGTAATTGCATCGGCAGCAGTGCGGCTTTGATGTATCTGAAATGTGAGATAAAAACGTTATTTCTACAGATAAAAGGGGCATTTCAACGCGTAGTTGTATTTTTAGATCGTGGACTCGCTTGCGAGCTATCAATTATTCTCTAAAAGAATATTCAGACGAAAACAAATAGAATTCGAGAGAAGGCTCTCTTTCTCTCTCTCTCTCTCTCTCTCTCTCTCTCTCTCTTTCTCTTCTTCTTCTTCCTTCTCTTTTCATTCATCGACGGGATTGGAAAACGTGAGTTCATCGCGTGAAAGATGGATCATTAATCAAACGCTCCCGTGTAACTATATACATTAATCTGTCTCTCTTCCTCAACCGTCGAAGCGTCGTGCCGTTTCGTAAATTTATGGCCGGTGGCCGGACACAATGGCCGCGAGAATAAATTCCTGAGTGGCTGTAAAGCTAATTGCGAGACATGGTATCGCTGATAATAGCCGACTCTTACGTAACGAAGGTGAGCGCGACACGCGGCTGGTCAATGATCCAGACATGAGTGCGCGACAAGGATTTCATAATTACATTCCAATTTCAAAGACGTCGGTAGGGGCCCGAGTGATCGATTGACTGGCCAACTTGGGTCATTAAGATCGCCGATTGCAAACGGGGAATAGACAAAAGTCGAGTGTATTTGCGTAACTCGTCAGCAGGTTGATCTAACATTATGCAATGAAGTTATTTAATCGGTAGTTATTTTTAAAAATAAAATCTCGTTCGTGGATAGTCTGAGATATTTAACGGCGGTTATATCACGATATTAACTAATATAAGACATAAATATTTATCTTATGTTTTTGAAGAAATAAAAATTGAAATGTAACTGACACAATGATTGGAATATTGAGACGTGGTAAAATTTGCTTAAAATATATCGGTTAAAAGTAATTAGAAAAAAATCATCATGTAGGTACTCACACTTGCGCGTTGTCGGGTATGAAAAGCGCGGCTAAATTTCTCGCTCGTTCAATGCCAACGTGAAGTAATCCGTCACTCACTGAATACCTGATAAATGTAAAATTATAGATTTCAACTCAGTTGTTCGTTTCATCTAAATCATCACAAGAATGAAAGCAAACTTCCGCAAAAATAAAATAAAATAAACTTGTATTATAATAATTTTTCGTAGTTAAATAAATAAATAAAAATAATGTTTATATGTTATTTTAAAAATTTTACGTTATTATAAGAATAATAGATATATGATTTATCATATAATAATTTTTCTACAGCATAATGTTTTCATTTATTATTTTTTAATATATATATATATATATATTCGATAATATAACAAATTTTAAATAAGTATATAAGAAAAATATTGTTTGCAAAAGAAATATACTTTTACAATGATTATTATGACACTTTTATGCACATTTTTATTATATTTTGTTCGATATTTTTATAATATATGGTCCATAAGCAAAATATACCTTAGTTTAATCTGCACTTGTGCGGTTTCTAGACTCATTTCACTAGAAGCTAATGGATCTACATCGGATATGGGCCCGGACAATCTTTTTCGGTTGCACGCCTCGAAGACACCCGAGTCACCTGCGACGCTTTCATCAGAAACGGCGGCGGAGACGGATCTAGTATTAGTACCAGAACTACTGGCTCTCGACCTAATCCCAGTAGGCGGTGGCGTTTCACTGATCGGTGATAAGGGGAGTGGCTCCTGTGGCAGGGACGATGGCGGTACCTGTTGCAGTTGCATCTGCGTGCCGCTCGCGCCAGGCCTGCCCAAGCCACTGCCCTGGGACATATTACTCGATTGCAGCTCGACGGGCGGATGGGGACCGACTACGAGTTTCAAACGATCCTGCGTATTGATGGAGCACGGCTGTTCTTGTTGTAACGCTACTCCTTGTTGCTGACTAAATCTGAACTCCGACAAACGGTCCTCTAGTTGATTCCCGTCCAGGTGAGACGTAGTGGTACCGCTAATCGCTGCCATTGTTGTCGTTGTCATCCCTGCAGGTGCCGCTGTTCTCTGATATTGCCTCCTCTGCTGTTCTACCTGTTCATAGGCAGGCGGCGGACCCATCGGCGCATTTTCGTACAACGGCGATACCGGCGGGCTTACACTGGACAAACTCGATCTTGGGGAAAGACTGGGCTGAGATCTGCCGGGTGAGGGTGTTCCGACGAGATTACTCTGTTCGGAACCGCGCAACAGTCTTTCAACACGTCTGTGGAGATCAACCATATCGACCGGTCGTTCTTGCTGTAAACTGGCCGATCCCAAACACTGCGGACCACCGTAAATATCCGTGAAGCTAAGTCCAGAACTGAGAGAACCTTTGCTACTCGTCGTGCTGAGACTACCGAGACTGGAACTACTGCTCACCGACAATGTACTAGCGCTCAAAGTTTTCAATTGACCCTCTAACATTGCCATTGAGCGCAGCGCATTTCTAAGTTGCTGCAGCAGCAGTTGCTTCTCTTCGTGGAGCCGTACGCGATCGGTGATGGTTTTATTTGAAAGTTCAAACGCAGTATTAAGATCTTGCTCGAGCCTACGAATTTCCAACTGGATCTTCTTCATATCCTGTTGCGTTCTCGTGCGTGGAGTGATGCTACGTAATTCCCTCAATAACTGTTCCTTTTCTTGGAATAATAACAGCTTATCCTTGTCGCTCTCAGTTTGTCCCGGCGTCACTTTTTCTTCGAGATCCGCCAACTGTTGTTGTATATGCTGAATCTGTTTTCTTGCCTCATCATATTGCAACCTCATACGTGCCATCTCTGCTAGCCGAGTACCGATCGGTACCAGCTCGCCCGAGAGATCAGTTTGAGAGGCCGTGCTGAGTTTCTCCTGTGGCAAGCTGAGCGTACTAGCTTCCGGACTGCCCTCGCATAGTTGCAACCTCGTCAGTTCATCTTTTAATTGTGCCAGTGATTGCATCAGCTCAGCCTTCTCCTTCTCGCCTGAGCTTAAGGACTTTTGTATATTACGAAGCTCTGTCATGATCGCCTGCGCTTCCATAATATTGTAGCATCCACCATGATGGGTGCTCAATTTTTGTTCCACACTGCAGAAAGAAGTAGACCGCAGAAATTAGAACTATTCTCAAGTGTTGTGAGTACTACAAATAACTGGCGATATAATATAATAGTTATTAATAAAAAAAGCGTCTTAAAATTCAATGATATCTATAAAATTTCAATTTCTTAAATAAAAATTATTAGAATAAGTATTATTAGAATAAGTTACGTTTATTCTTAAAATAAATGTAAGAGGAGCAAAATTTTTCATAAAATCGTAGTAAAATGCATATAAATAATTTTCGTTACAGACTGAGATTAAATTACTTAAATAAGTTTAATACAAAAATGGGTTATCGCCGACTTAATGTTCGTCTATGTAATACCTGGCGAGAGTATCTACTCCTCGTTGCGTGCAATTCATCTCCGCTCGAATTTGCTCGAGTTCTCGTTTTAGTCGAGAAACTCGACTCCTTGCAAGTGCCACGTCTGATTTAAGCAGGTCAGGGTCGTATTTGGTACTCAAGGAACTCGAGCTGGAACACACTGCGAACCACAAATGCCTCAATATTTTCCGATGGTGAGAACTTTTTTACTTACACTCGCGTTAAAATCAATTTCAAATCGGATATTTGACCATGTAAAATTCAAAATATGAAAACTACCAATCGTGACAAATTCCCTAATTCGCAGCAATGTTCTGTAATTTCATTTTAACGACACAACACTTTTCAAATGACAGGATTGACGAAGCATTCATAAATATCTGCATATAACACGCACAATATATCCAAGTTACTATTTAAATCAGGAACCAATAAAAATCCTCTGTATGTTAAATTACACTCACAACTTGTACGCGATGCGCCAAGGGTAGTTAAGGCGTTATTGAGGTGATTGTACTCATCCTGAGCCAGGCAGAGCCTCTGATGTTTTACATCATAAATCTCCTTCTTCGCCTATAACACAAGAATTTGAACCTTTTTAAAACAATCTTTTTAAAACAATTCATTTTCATATCAATATCATATAACACTTATTTTCATATCCATCATCACTGTAATTGGCAAAATCTTTTTTTGTAACATAGAGACAAGTTAATTAAATGTATATTAAGAAAATGATAAAGAATGAAAGAATAATTTGTCGTAGTTATGTAACTTTTAAACGGTAGTTATTTAAATTCTAAGCATTTATATTGTGCTTCCATAAATAGCAACACTGCCGAGCTGCATAGTTTGCAATTATTTATTTAGCGATTACGTGCAAATTGCGCGCGCTAAAATATCAGATGTGTTTACTTATATACGTAAAGGAAAATGATATGTAAAGAAATGTAGTGAGGAAGATAAAACAAAATTTTCCAAGAAAATAAATTTAAGAAGTTAAATATCTTCTTTAACATAAAAGGGACTCTTCTCAGCGTTCTTTTAAATAATTATTGAAAAGGAGTTATAATATTTTCACAAATTAATTAATCAGAATAAAAAAGATTTAATCATGCAAGTATAATCCTTAATATCATGTGCTGATATATGCTGTGTTTAATATGTTTCACATAGAAAATATAATTAAATATTCCTATTATGTAGTTTCACGATTATCCCATATTTGATCACTGCGCATTCTGAATATTTGGAAGAACCACACGAGGTTTCTTATGCAAAGAATATATCACGATACATCGATCTCACTAAAAAGAAAAATCTCGACCGCTCACATTCGCTGGCACACACACGTTTCGTCATAAGAGAATATTTACAGTTTTAACGCTTCGACAATAAAATTTTGCGAAGCATCTTCTAAAAAACGAAAACGTAACTTTGCGAAGAGAGACACTAAAATACACAATTTCCGTTCTCAAAAAAAAAAGGAAGCAACACGCGATATCAACTGACGAAACCGACGAGTACTTTGAAATATTTGTTAGTAATCCCAAATAAATCCTTACATATTCACAATAGTAATACGCTGTAGTGTCGGTATCGTTGCCCTTATAACACTGCTCCCAGTAGAATCTCTGTATCTGCTCGTCGTTCTCGTAATCATTATGATAGCACATTTTCATGCGATATTGAGACACGACGTTCTCGTAGATTTGTTCTTGTTGTTGCTGTTGCTGCGTCTGCTGAATTAAGCGTTGCTGTTGATACTGAAGATATGATGGAGGTTGCAAACTTCTCTGTTGCTGCTCCTGCGCTTGTTGCTGCTGATGATGATGATAATTATTCACGTAGTTACGGTACTGATGTGCCGGTACGAGTACGCAGAGGGTGTACTGACGGTCCATGCCGAGTATACGGTGGACTGTGCGCACTCTCTGTGGCTACGCGATACCTTTCTTCCTCCTGTTTCTCCTCCTCCACCTCCGCTTTTTCCTCTTCTTCCTCTCTTCTTTCTATTTCTCTTCCACCCTCTCTCTCTCTCTCTCTTCGCCTCCTTTCGTTTTTCCACTTCTTCACTTCCTCCTCTCGATCCCGTCTCGTGCCCTCCTGCGCTCTCGTGCACTTTTCTATCTCCTCTTTTCTCCTCGCCTCATCTTCACGAAGGCCTCCTTGAGACTGGCCGGTGTACGGGGCCCGAAATTCCGATCCCCACCTCCGTGGGTCTCAATTTTTAAGGGATCCCACCTTTTTTCCTCTTTTTACCTTCTCTTCCTTCGCTTCTTGCTTCGTCCGGCCAGTCCTGCCTGCCCCTCTTCGGTATCTATCCTATCCCTCCTTCAATACCCCTTTTTACCCCTACCATTGCAACCTCGCGCACACAGATTCTTTTCTCTCCAACGGGATGGAGCACAAACTGGCTCCACGTACTCCCTCTTCATCCTTTTCTTCTTCTTTTTCTTCTTCTTCTTCTTCTTCTTCTTCTGCTTCTTCTTCTTCTTCTCCGTCATTCTCTCTCATTCCAGGCGCTTCCTCCATCGTATATTTTTCATGCTATCTCTTTCTTTCTCTCTTACTTCTCGATGGCCTCAAGCGCCTCTTTCTTACCCGACGTAAAAAGGCGGGCCTCGGCAGCCCCGACAAGATTGTCACAACCAGGTTCAAACTCCAAGTTCTAGTTTAAAAGGGATGAGTTTAAAAGTTAAATAGCGTAGTATAATGCCTAGCTTTCATGGTGAAAATTAATTAATTAACTTGTCCTACAACTGGGTTAAAATTATTAAATATCCCTTATCCCTAATATTCAATTATTATACATGGAGCTCCTTTCTTTTTAAAGTAAAAGAATTTTATTTTGATTGAAGAATTTAAACATTGTTATCAAAATTTTCAATTAATGAATTATAAAAAATTTTGTTGAACTACTAAAATATATTAAAATGTGTCACTGACACATTTCATATATTGCAATGCATATAAAATTGCATGCAAAGATAAAGTAAAAAGAGACTATTACATAGTTGATAATAACAAAAATTATAATGTCTTACAAATACTTGTTTATTTTTTTATGTCACGGCAAGATAAAAAATATTCATTAGAGTAAACAAAAATTTTTGTTAGAGTAATTCTAACATTTCTATTATATAAAATGTCGAAATCCAAGTTTATCCTCGTCATTCTAGCCCTCGAGGGTGTCTATTTTTTCAGACTCACGGAATGTCATCGTATGCAATGCAATCCAGAAGCGCAGGGCGCCTGAGGGCCAATGCACGATTCTGTCATTGGTGGGGACAACGTGCGCGCTAGCTATGAGGACAGGAGCCAACAGAGAAAGGTGGAGAGGATTGCTGAGGAATCAGCGGAGGACGAGGACGAATGAACGAAGGAGAAGTAGGATGAGGCATAAAGAAGGGACGCGATAGAAGGGCAAGAAAGAGAAGGGAAAAAGGAGATGCGGCGAGGTCACGGTACGACCCTGCTTGAACGTGGTCGCATCCGTCGGGGCCTTGCCGTCGGTAGTAGAACCGACCTTGAGTCGCACATTATGCTCCGTCCTTGTTGGAATTTCTGGGGCCCCTACTGGCCCCATCAGCCGTGTCTCCGGATGATCATCTAAGAGCGGGCCCAGCCGGCAGGGCAGCGGGGCCTCGCTCGTTGCCGTCCCACTCTTCGCCAATCGTGGAGACTCACCTCATCCGTGAGGCTCCAGTATGTGCACCGGAGGAGAGCACACGGGTTCTTTCCGCTCCTTCCCTCTTTTCCTTCCCGTCGCGCCTTCCCGCATCTTCTCCATGAAACCATCACGATATCTCTCTCTCTCTCTCTCTCTCTCTCTCTCTCTCTCTCTCTCTTTCTCTCCCATCATCGCCACTCTTCCTCTTCGCCCTCAAAACATCGGAGAGAATCCACGGCGCCTCGCGCGCACATTTCTCGGTCTATACTATTATTATTGAGAGAGTACACAGATGGTATCGAGTATGGGCCTGTTTCGTCAATTCTCCGGAAAGAAGCTTTATTTTTCCACCCGCCTGTCTTCTTCATTCTCTTCCTTCTCTATCTCTTCCTACTCCTCCATCGCTATCACTACACAACTTTGCGACCTCCGAGCGCATTCTTTTTTTCGTTCGATGGACTTTCTTCTTCTCTTCCCCGGAATGGCAAAATGACTTCGATTTCCGACAGGAAATCTTCGGCCCGCTCTTGGATCCCAGTCGATACTCTCTGATTTCGACCTCTTCCGAATATATATTTGTGATGCATTAGATCAACGTTATTCTTTTTTCGATTAGCTTTTGAAAACTCCATGATAAGACAATGATGCACATTTTATAAGTTAATAAAATTAGATAAGTTTTCTTTCCACTCTCTATTTCTTATATATGTAAAATTACATACTATTAGTAAATTGTCAAGCTTGTATGTGCAAAGTAAAGAAGAATATTTTAATAAGGCTAAGAAACAAATATAAGTTTTAACTATTATGCTCGTTTCTTGACCTGTTAATCTTGATCTTAAGATTCTTTTTTCCTTATATACTTCATTATTTTTTTTAAGAATTTCATAATTCTAAAATTTCATAACTTTATATCATAGATGACATAGATTAAACTATTTTCTGCAATTAATATCCAAGTCTCTTAAATATATATATTGAAAAAAATGATGTTATATCAACTGCGTTATTTTAATTAGAAATAATTTTGTTAATTCACACACTCACACACAACAGTATTAATGAAACAGATACTCTTTAATAAAATTTTATTTCATTAATAATGTTATTGAAAAAAAATCAACAAGATTATTTTTAATTGAAATAATACTGTTGATATAACATCATTTTATATGCTCTGTACATATATATAAAATTTGTTTTCAAAATATTTTCTTGCAAAACAATTCTCTCTGATAAATGTTAAACATATTTAGAATTAGTATTTATAAGATTTTGCGTCTGATTCATTATAATTGTCATTTTGTTTGCATTTCTAGCTGAAATACTAGAGATCCCTGCAGTATCCCTGTTTCTCAGTATCATTTGGTGTCTAGGACGCATCTCCCGTCTGAAAGGAGTCGAAGGAACGAGGGCTCTTCAGCGACAGCCGCATTCCAAGTGAGACGCCTAATACCGTTCCTAGCACGGCAAAAAACAAAAGGTCATCACGAAGGATACGAGGGAAAGAAGGTACGACAGGATCATACGAGAAGGAAGACGATCCGCGCATCGTTGGACCCGTAGAGGAGAGGGGACGCGACAGGACGAAGAGGAGGCGGAAGGCGTCTCTCGGATATATTCCTGCGCAAACGGCCGCGATTTATACGGCCTGAAGCTCGCTATCCTAGAAGCCGAATGCCTAACTGATTGCTGAATTCCATTCCATCGGCCTGCCTTTTCTCCCTCCTCTTTCATTCTCTCTCTCTCTCTCTCTCTCTCTCTCTCTCTCTCTCTCTCTCTCTCTCTCTCTCTGCTCTTCGCTCTCGCGAGCGACTCGCGTCTTGGGAATGCTACGAGAAACCACGAACATCGTTTGCTCTGGTTCAAAATACCAGCTGCCTCGATAGAACCAGCTGAA